CAAATGGACTTCACTGACACTTACCGAAATATAACACTGAAGGTAACGCTTTTATTTCCTTTGTATTACCAGTATAGGGGGATTTACAGTAAAAACAACAAATAGTTATAAGTATGAAAACGTAGACGATATTGGNATCCCACTGTGTTTGCCTCCTTCTTTGACTCTTCGCCACGCCCCTTCTTGAGCACTTTTCGTCGCTACAATTCGGTGCCAGTCTCATAGTCTGACTCGCAAATGTGCAGCGTTTTATCTTGAACAAATAACGAGTTCAGTACTTTGCATAGAGTTTTCAAAGGAGTAGCCTCAACAATACTGGTGAACTACACTTCTAATCCAAATAAAACAAATAGAAATAACTTTTTTGGTAGTAACATATCGCTGGTAAACAACACTATGGAAGTATAATCGGATAATATTGCTCGTTAACTACGATGAGAAGACCAGTTCAGTAGGCCGATCCACCCCGTGGATGCAAAATCTGTAGGCCGTTTCGGTAGAAAAATTTTGAGTTCACTATCTTTCAGCCTATCCAAAAAGGATGAACACGGGTCTGGTCGTTATTTCACGAGTAAGCACTCTAGGAGTAAAAAAAATCATATGAGGATTCGTCATTTTTCTCCGTAACCACCGACTTTTTCATCTCCCATTAACCACCCCATTTGGGAATCTTTCTCCACATCTAAACTCACAAATTTTCCGTTCGAATTTCACCTGCATGGGTCTCCATTTTTGGAGGTTGTCTCAAAATGCTGGAGCAATTCTGCTGCCGGATATCTAACATTCGAAAAATCAGTTTCCGATTTCATACGCGTGCACTTTGCTTGTCAAGGGAAAAAGTCATTCTTAACGTCATCCGCCTATACAATGTTAGCCTTTTCGACTTGATGCTCTGCTATGGATTGTTAGCTCTATCTATGAAGCCCTTTGAGGTGAAAGCTCTCCTTTCTTCCATTCAAACAAAGAGATCTTATCTTGTATGTCAAACTGCATTCAGAATTTTTCATGTATGTTGCACCGTACTGGATTTGCAAAAGAGAACGCAGTGTGTAATACAAAAGTAAACATATAAACAAGTTGATTTTTCAGTCGTGCTGAAAACATTCTTACATTCATCGATGTTTTTATAGAGTATGTCGAAATTTACATCACCTATCCGCATAAAAGTCTAGCATGATGGACACCCGATTAAAATTCTATCCGATTCGATGTATATGTCTAATATCACGACTACAACAGCTTTTTGCCATACTGATAACGGTAGCCATGGTATGCATCGTCTATGAAAGCTACATTTCTGTTTACAACGTAAGTAACTATTTGTTTGAATCGAAATCAAATATTTTCTACGCAAAATACCAAAAAACTCCATGAACAATTTCTTGTAACTTTCCTTTGCACTTAAAATTAATACAAATTCGATCAATATGAAAGAGAGGGGGTGGCCAAAACCGATAAGTGATAGAGTAGGCATAAATCCGCTTCTACCATGGAGAATGTGCCACGGAATTCCACCAAGTTATGGGTTATTCTGCTCCGTTAACGTAATCTGCTTCTAGTGAAGCAATTTCTAGATCTTATTTGAACTAATTTTTTTCGAGAGTGTTAATAGCACATCGTAAAGAGCGTGGCGATGAGGCTTTCAAAAATGCTACTTCCAAGCCTTTAAATGCTTCTAGCTACTGAGCTACGATCATTTCCTCGGGCCCGGGCGAGACTCACACACCTTGTTGATGTAAAACGAGTGAAAAACACTAGCTGTCTCTCTGTTACGAACTTCGAACTAGTAGGAGTTATCCTGTTATCAGGCAGGGCACTATTAACCTACATCTAAGGGAGACGGAGAGGACTGCGACAAATGGTGGCTTCTATTGCTGGATGCATTATGACTACAGTCCATCAAACCGCTCCATCCTATTCCCCACACTTACTAACCCTAGCCCATTCCTCCAACCCACTAAACCCATCTCCCTCTTCCGACCACCAACGTACCCTGTGCAAATTTTAGTATGGGCAACTCTACCATAGTATCCATAGTATGAGTAAAACGCTGAAGAGATGACGCTAACCAATCGTTTAATCGTGAAAGCTTATAACTTCAAAGGCTAAAGGAACCTTCGAAATGTTTTCTCAGATTTTTTTTTCGAAAGAGTAAAGTTGACTATCTTCAATTTATTCAGTTGGTGAGTAGGAATCTACGAAAATGAATAAATAATTGAGCTAATTAAGCAATTGCTAGACAACACTTTCGATCAACAATGTCATCAACAAGACGAGGTGGATAGGATAAATCTCCAAATGAAGCAGTTATACATGCAACAGCCATTTTTAGACTCGGTGGGTTCTATTCTGTGAAGTTCTTGTAGCATTCACGTGGGTATATAACTCATCGGAGTAGGGACAGTGTAGATTCAGATGGAACGGCACACACACCCCCCGGATTCGGGCCCCACCTGATCGTACTAAAACCCGCACTCTTACTTTTTCAATCGTTACCAGACCGGTTTTGGTTACTACAAAATTGGGATTTGTGGTCAGATTCCCACAGGATATCCTTCTATCAAAACTGCATCTCACCACCACAGCGCTCTTGCGCGGCCCAGGATGAAAGTAGACTAGTTAGGCAGCCAATTCCCAGACACCTTCTTAGGCTCATAGAAAAAAGATGTCAGAAATTCTGTGAAGTCAACCTTTGTTTGAAGAAAATCCAATTTCTAGCGATTGGCTCTGATCAACTGCACTATCGTGCCATGCCGTTCTATTTGTACGAATGTAGATTTTGTGGTGATCGTCCATGTGAGGGCAGAGGACGCACAAGGAAGAAACATTTGGCGCGCTACGTACGGTGAAAGTTATTTGAGAAATAAAGTGATTATTTTATTTGAGCTCTTATTGCGATAGTCTTTTCTTACCAAATCTTTTCAGTTTAACTATAGTCTTCTATTTGTTGTTGGTAAACCGAGATTCCTAATCAATCAAGAGATCATTGAAGAGGAAGGTGGTTTGTATGGCGATATTCTGCAAATGGACTTCACTGACACTTACCGAAATATAACACTAAAGGTAACGCTTTTACTTCCTTTGTATTACTAGTATAGGGGGATTTACAGTAAAAACTACAAATAGTTATAAGTATGAAAACGTAGACGATATTGGTTGCTATCACCCAGTCCTCTAGCAGTCTGTAGTCTACAAACTCCTCACAGGGGTCAACCTCAACAGGATTAGCAGAATGCTGTGTGAGGAACAGTTATGCTAGCTCGGTTCTAGATGGGATGACCTACATACAGTATGGCAGTACGGCCGACTGAATCTCCCCAGCCCTAACAATTGTTAAACGTCGCAAGAGCACATAAAGACATTTTGTAGCACATGGATCGATTCCAAGAAGGCCCCTCATACTGTCGAGACGACCGAGACGGAAATCGAAAGTCTGGGCGATTAGAGTGATCTTATCTAGTATGGCTCGGTTCCGGATGGGATTATATAAAGACGCTTCGTGCTCGCTTCGTGCTGGTTTGCTATAGCAACCAAATTGTTACCAATCTACAAGGAATTCGTCGTGGCGATATTCCTCAGCGCGATACCATCTTGCTCAAATATCCTATGAAGTTCACGGAAACTGCGCGTCAGTTGGGAAGGGAAGACGAGAAACATCAGGGACGCCAAACATCAGAATGTCTGTGAGCTTCATAGTAGATGTATGAAGGAGGCTGCCAAATTGTGTTTGCAAAAATCCACCAACCAATTGTTTGCCCTCACCAAAGAGCGCGCTTCGGATACTGGGCCAGAAAACCATATACGATGTTACCGATGAGGTATTTCTTGAGTGAAGCTAAGCTCGAGACTGAAACTGATAAAAGAATGCTACAATAATCTGATGTAATTAAGGGCTACAACGAAAGAGTGAACTGATAGTGCTCATTATGAAAGCACCCACTGAAGGGAATGCTCTGGTTTTGCTCCTCGAGCAAGGAGCGTCAACTTGACTGGGTTTCTCCCCGAGAAAGAGAACGCGATGTTTTGGGATTCATTACCGAAGAAGCCTGTTTTTAGCATCTGGCCGAGTTACGTTACTTGGCTTCAGCATGTAATGATAATATTGTTATTCTCAAAGTGGATGATGACGTAGCATGGGACATTCAGCAAATATCCACCTTCGTACGAAATAATATCACATTGGACAACCTCTTCTGCGTTCGGTAACAATTTCTGATTTTGATTTCAATTTTATGAACCTTCTTTTATGTAAATTCACTTTCGCTATGTCAAAACTACAAATAATAATATCTTATAATACCTGATTTGGATTAGAAACGGAGGTGGTGTAGTGGCAAGTGGCGCACTATATCACACGGGGGGACGGTCAAGTTGTGCGTCCGAGGGCACGCGCGGCAAATTGCGCGGCATAGTTCATACCTATTCTGACGACTTTGGCACCTATTATTTGGGCCCAATCTGAAGAACAGTAGGATAGTAGGATCAGCTAACCTTAATAATCTACCCTACTTCAGTTTTGGGCCCCAATGATAAGCGCCGCAGNTCACACGGGGGGACGGTCAAGTTGTGCGTCCGAGGGCACGCGCGGCAAATTGCGCGGCGAAGTTCATACCTATTTTGACGACTTTAGCACCTATTATTAGGGCCAAATCTGAAGAACAGTAGGATAGTAGGATCAGCTAACCTTAATAATCTACCCTACTTCAGTTTTGGGCCCCAATGATAAGCGCCGCAGCCGTCCAAACTCACCAAGAACTTCGCCGCGCGCGCCCTCGGACGCACGACTTGACACACAAATTATCACACGCACAGTTAGCGGTTCGAATCCCGGATCGATGCCCGCCTAGGCCAACCAAGCCTTCCATCCCTCC